ATCCTCCCTAGCTGGTGTCTGGTCTTCTAGGAGGCTTTCCAAGCTCCTTAGACTACGATGACCTGGATGACTGAAAACCTTCACAGACATCTTGCTACAAGTCATCTTTTTTTTTTCTCTTCACCTTACTTTCCAACTTTGCTACTAGAACCCGCTCAACTCATGAGTGACATCACTCCAAGCGCCCACACTTGAATTAAGAGATAAATGAAACACAGAATTGGGCTTTTGGAGGAAGTTGGAGTTTCCAAAGCGAACCCACACAGCCAGAGTGAGAATTTCCACCCAGAAAGACCCCCACCAGCAACCAGGTTTGGAACGCAGGACCTCGTTGCTGTGAGGCAATGACGCTAACAGGGCACATTTTCTTGATCAGAGAGCTTTAGATGTGATAGCTGATAGATGACTCACTTCTTCCTGTTTCCAGTTTTCAGTCTCTGTTCTAGTCAAACTGGTTATTGGTGTTTGTTTTTAATTTAGTAGGCAAACATTAGAGTTTTATCAGTCTTCTCATCAAGAATGTTAACAAGCAGATCGTATTGAACTGAAAAGTCAAACAAAACAAGTCTGAAAATATTTCCAAAAAAAAAAAAAGCCCTGAAAATGAGTGTTACCTATTGGACCAACAGGTCTCTTGAGGAAGCGTCCCGTGGCATGAGCCTCGCTAATTGCACTCATCATGTCAGGCACCTGGTCTCCAAAGCGCTTTAGTTTGTTCGATCGACTGGCGAGCAGCTGATTCTTCCTCTTTAGTTTGGACTCGTACGAAGCCTGTACGTTCCTTTCCTCCAGTCTGGTAAATACAAAGAGAGCAAGATCATAAACTTTCACTTCCTTGACAATATGTTTACACCAGAGCTGATTTACTTTGTTATACCTCAGCTTGTCCAGTTCTTCCTTCCCTTTGAGAAGCGCCTGATGTTTGTTCTTGATGTCTTGATTCAGGTGCGTGCACTTATTCTCGAGCTCTCCAAGCTGCTCTTTCAGATTACTTAAACTCTTCTGCCGTTTCGTGTATTCAGAGTCTCCCTCACTGTTCAGACTCTTACTGAAACAGAGTAAAAAAAAAAAATGAAAACAAATACATCAGCTGTATTAACATCAACTCTTACTCCCCTACCTTGCTTTTGCCTTGTTAAGCTTCTCCTGGAGAAGGTTTTGCTCTTGTTCCGACTGTTTCAGCTTGTTTAGAGCTCGAAAATAAACGACCTATTGGAAAAGATTGTGACATTAACATGACTTCAAATATTTCTCTATGCATAAATAAATAAATGTGCAGATTAACACAGCGCCGTTTGTCAGCGATTACCTCCTGGTCCTTGTGTGCTTTGCTAATGATCTTCGCTTGTTCTTTCAACTTAACATTGTCCTCTGATAGAGACTCTTGCTCTTCTCTCAGAGTGTCAATTTTGCTTTTGATGCATTGAAGCTTCTTCTCTAGCTGTATGATCTTCGTCTGAAGATGAGAGAGACAGAAACAGGTTTTTAAAGACAATGCCTGCAAATAATTACCAGCAGGATAGAGCCACTCCCCCCTCCCCCACCCCACAACCTCATGATATCTACTGTAAACACAACCATGCATTATGTGAAGGAAGGACTTTGAGTTTATGCAGAGATGAAGGTCTGAAGTGGTCTGACATTTATAAATAGGGTTGTATATTTAACAGAAAAGAAACACTTGTGACTCACCTGACAGAGCTGAAGGTTATCCTTGGGTTTGTAATTATTTTCTTCCTTTTCAATGTCTTCCTTCAACTGCTTCAAGAGCTGCTCCTTCTCACTCACCTGAAAGAGATAAAAAAAAAAAACATTTATTAAAAATTGCAAGCTCTATCCAACCAGCAAATGTTGCGTTCAAGCCTCAAGATCAAGTCTTACCAAACACCATACCATCGCCTTCTTCAGATTCTCCAAAACAACCTTCATGTCACTGAAGGATGCAACATTTTCATATCGTTCCTTCTTCTGCAGGAACTCTTGCTTCAGGTCCTTGAGACACTGGACACAAAAGCATTTTAAAATATGTTTGATTTATGTAAAAATCAAATGCTACTCATAGATAAACATATAAGCTGCAACTGGATACAATTAGGGTTCCCAAATAAAAGGCAGAAAATCAAGAGAAACCCCAAAGAATATGATGCTTTTAAAACTGTCAGTGTTTAACCAGAAATAAACAATGTAAATAACATTTCTCCAACGTGGATTTGCTTTATAATCTCGCTTGATGTGCAACATCAACGTTCAGCGGTTTGTGTGAGGAATGCCGTACCTCCTCTTGCCTCTCAACCTGCTCCCGCGTGACCATTTTAGTGTGTTTAATGTGGATGTAATCTCTCTTCATCTGCTCGAGCAGAGTTGCTTTCATGAAGAACTACAAACGAAAAAAGCAGAAAAGAAAGCACTTATCAAAGTGAGCTTCATTGCAGGTGTAACCTTTGAATCTTAACGCTTTTAGCGAACGTGGCGTTACGCTACCTTATACTTGTCTGTTTCACTTTTTGAATGCAGGAACTGCTTGCTCATTTCTTGGCTGAGAATGGATACTGGGTTATCCAGCTGGAATGCACAAGCAAATATCCCGTTAAGTTATTTAATGTGTATGATTGTGCAGGAAGCAGCACAACCTCGGGGCATCTACAGGAAAAAAATTTAAAAAGTAGCAAGTACCTGGATGTTAAAGTGGTCCAAAATGGCCGTTAATTCCTCCTTTTTGTTTGAGACGAGATGTCCTAAAAGAGATAAAATGCAAGTAAAGTGGTTTGAACCTCTGTTGCCCTTTAAAAGAGGTTATAACTTACATGCCACTCATTGGAAAATAATAAGATGGTACTATACTGTGTTCATAATTCCTTAAATTTGGACAAGATCTCCTACACCACTGGCCGATATATAGCCCAAAACACGACGGAGCCTCCAGTGTGTTTTCCAGGCTGTAGACACTCACTGTCTACACTCACTTCACTAATTTTTTTTAGGCCTGCCACTTCTTCTTTTGTCCTCCACTTGTCTGGTAAGGACACACTGCCCACCATGCTGAGATATGACAGGTTTTTAGCTAATAGCTCTTTGTGAATCTTGTTGGTGCATAAATACTAATTTATGCCTGTTAAACTTGGTTACTTTGGTAATTTTTTTGGTAGATTCAACAGAAGAAACGTGAATAAATTCTGTGATTTTGTGTGAGAATGTAATAATAGTGTTATAATAATGTTAGCGGCTTAACATACAGAAGAACCTTCTTCTGAAAATGGTCAGGTACAAGAGTGAACATGCATACTGGCACATGCACTTTAAGTTCCTTTTATTTATAAAATGACATTTACA